AATAGACCTTACACATTTTGGCTAAAAGGCCAAGCTATTTCAGGTATACAAATGTATGAGAAGAAAGCCCAATATAAATAGGTTTTTCAATAACTCCTCAAAGTTAAATTCAAAATGCCACTCCAAGTGTAAGTCACAAATTCTACAAATAAAAAGATTTGCAGAGACCCAAATATTCTATTTACATTATATTTGAAACATGAAGCAACTTGAATTTAGGTCCATTTTTTTCTGTTTTTGTTTTGTTTTGTTTGTTTGTTTTTTAACACTTTAAGTACTTTAAGTTCTGGGATACATGTGCAGAATGTGCAGGTTTGTTACATAGGTATACTTGTGCCATGGTTGTTGGCTGCACCCATCAACTGGTCATCTACATTAGGTATTTCTCCTAATGCTATCCCTCCCCTTATTCCCTATCCCCCAACAGGCCCTGATGTGTAATGTTCCCCTCCCTGTATCCATGTTCTCATTGTTCAACTCCCACTCATGAGTGAGAACATGTGGTATTTGGTTTTCTGTCCCTGTGTTAGTTTGCTGAGAATGATGGTTTCCAGCTTCAACCATGTCCCTGCAAAAGACATGAACTGATCCTTTTTTATGACTGTGCAGTATTCCATGGTGTATATATGCCACATTTTCTTTATCCAGTCTATCATTGATGGGCATTTGGGTTGGTTCCAAGTCTTTGCTATTGTGAACAGTGCTGCACTAAGCATATGTGTGCATGTGTCTTCATAGTAGAATGGTTTATAATCTTTTGAGTATATACCCAGTAATGCTGGGTCAAATGGTATTTCTATTTCTAGATCCTTGAGGAATTACCACACTGTCTTGCACAAAGGTTGAACTTATTTACACTCCCACCAACAGTGTAAAAGTATTCCTATTTCTCTACATCCTCTCCCACATCTGTTGTTTCCTGACTTTTTAATGATCACCATTTTATCTGGCATGAGATGGTATCTCATTGCGGTTTTGATTTGCATTTCTCTAATGACCAGTGATGATAAGCTATTTTTCATGTGTTTCTTGGCCACATAAATGTCTTCTTTTGAGAATTGTCTGTTCCTATCCTTTGCCCACTTTTTGATGGGGTTGTTTTTTTCTTGTAAATTTGTTTAAGTTCCTTGTAGATTCTGGATATTAGCCTTTGCCAGATGGATAGATTGCAAAAATTTTTTACCATTCTGTAGGTTGCCTGTTCACTCTGATAATAGTTTCTTTTGCTATGTAGAAGCTTTTTGGTTTAATTAGATCCCATTTGTCAATTTTGTCTTTTGTTGCCATTGCTTTTGTTTTTTTATCTTGAAGTCTTTGCCCATGCCTATCCTGCATGATATTGCCAAGGTTTTCTTCTAGGGTTTTTATGGTTTTAGATCTTATGTTTAAGTGTTTAATCTATCTTGAGTTAATTTTTGTGTAAGGTATAAGGAACGGGTCCAGGTTCAGTTTTCTGCATATGGCTAGCCAGTTTTCCCAACACTATTTATTAAATGGGGAATCCTTTCCCCATTGCTTGTTTTTGTCAGGTTTGTCAGAGATCAGATGGTTGTAGATGTGTGGCATTATTTCTGAGGGCTCTGTTCTGTTCCATTGGTCTATATATCTGTTTTGGTACCAGTACTATGCAGTTGGAGTTACTGTAACCATGTAGTATAGATTGAAGTCAGGTAGCATGATGCCTCCAACTTTGTTCTTTTTGCTTAGGATTGTCTTGACTATACAGGCTCTTCTTTGGTTCCATATGAAATTAAAGTAGTTTTCCTAATTCTGTAAAGAATGTCAATGGTAACTTGATGGCGATAGCATTGAATCTATAAATTACTTTGGGCTGTATGGCCATTTTCATAATATTGATTCTTCCTATCCATCAGCATGGAATGTTTTTCCATTTGTTTGTGTCCTCTCTTATTTCCTGGAGCAGTGGTCTGTAGTTCTGCTTGAAGACATCATTCCCATCCCTTGTAAGTTGTATTCCTAGGAATTTTATTCTCTTTGTAGCAATTGTGAATGGGAGTTCACTCATGATTTGGCTCTCTGTTTGTCTATTATTGGTGTATAGGGATGCTTGTAATTTGTGCACATTGATCTTTTATCCTGAACTTTGCTGAAGTTGCTTATCAGCGTAAGGAGATTTTGGGCTGACATAACGAGGTTTTCTAAATATACAATCATGTCATCTGCAAACAGAAACAGTTTGACTTCCTCTCTTCCTATTTGAATACCCTTTATTTCTTTCTCTTGCCTGATTGCCCTGGACAGAACTTCCAATACTATGTTGAATAGGAGTGGTGAGAGAGGACATCCTTGTCTTGTGCCACTTTCAAAGGGAATGCTTCCAGCTTTTGCCCATTCAGTATGATATTGGCTATGGGTTTGTCATAAATAGCTCTTATTATTTTGAGATATGTTCCACTGATACCTAGTTTATTGACAGTTTTTAGCATGAAGGGATGTTGAATTTCATTGAAGGCCTTTTCTGCATCTATTGAGATAATCATGAGGTTTTTGTCTTTGGTTCTGTTTATGTGATGGATTATGTTTATTGATTTGCATATGTTGAACCAGCCTTGCATTGCAGATATGAAGCCAACTTTATCATGGTGGATAAACTTTTTGATGTCCTGCTGGATTCTGTTTGCCAGTATTGAGGATTTTCACATCAAAATTCATCAGGGATATTGTCCCGAATTTTTCTTTTTTTGTTGTGTCTCTACCAGGTTTTGGTATCAGGATGAAGTTGGCCTCATAAAATGAGGTTGAAAGAAGTCCCTCTTTTTCTATTGTTTGGCATAGTTTCAGAAGGAATACAATACCAGCTCCTCTTTGTGCCTCTGGTAGAATTCAGCATGAGTCCTTCTCGTCCTTGGCTTTTTCTGGTTGGTAGGCTATTAATTACTTCCTCAATTTCAGAACTTGATATTGATCTATTCAGAGATTTAACTTCTTCCTTGTTTAGTCTTGGGAGGGTGTATGTGTCCAGGAATTTATCCATTTCTTCTAGATTTTCTAGTTTATTTGCATATAGGTGTTTATAGTATTCTTTGATGGTAGTTCATATTTCTATGGGATCAGTAGTGATATCCACATTATCATTTTTGATTGGGTCTATTTGATTCTTCTCTCTTTTCTTTTTTATTATTCTGGCTAATAGTCTAGCTATTTTGTTGATCTTTTCAAAAAACCAGCTCCTGGATTCCTTGATTTTTTTGAAGGGCTTTTCATCTCTCTATCTCCTTCAGTTCTACTCTGATCTTAGTTATTTCTTGTCTCTGCTAGCCTTTGAATTTGTTTGCTCTTGCTTCTCTAGTTCTTTTAATTGTGATGTTAGGATGGGGTGTCAATATTAGATATTTTCTGTTTTCTCCTGTGGGCATTTAGTGCTATAAATTTCTCTTTAAACACTGCTTTAGCCGTGTCTCAGAGATTCTGGTATGTTGTATCTTTGTTCCCATTGGTTTCAAATAACTTCTTTATTTCTGCCTCAGTTTGATTATTTACCCAGTAGTCATTCAGGAGCAGGTTGTTAAGTTTCCATGTAGTTGTGTGGTTTTGAGTGACTTTCTTAATCCTAGTTCTAATTTGATTGCACTGTGGTCTGAGAGATGTTTGTTATGATTTCTGTTCTTTCGCATTGCTGAGTAGTGTTTTACTTCCAATTATGTGGTCAGTTTTAGAATAAGTGTGATGTAGTGCTAAGAAGAATGTATATTCTATTGATTTGGGGTGGAGAGTTCGTAGATGTCTATTAGGTCTGCTTGGTCTAGAGCTGAGTTCAACTCCTGAATATCCTTGTTAATTTTCTGTCTTGTTCATCTGTCTAATATTGACAGCGGGGTGTTAAGTCTCTCACTATTATTGTGTGGGAGTCTAAGTCTCTTTGTAGGTCTCTAAGAACCTGCTTTATGAATTTTGGTGCTCCTGTATTGGGTGCATATATACTTAAGGTAGTTAGCTCTTCTTGTTGCATTGATTCCTTTATCATTATGTAATGCTCTTTGACTTTTTTTATCTTTGTTTGTTTAAAGTCTGTTTATCAGAAGCTAGGATTGCAACCCCTGCTTTTTTTTTGCTTTTCATTTGCATGGTAAATATTTCTCCATCCCTTTATTTTGAGCCTAAATGTGTCTTTGCACGTGAGATGGGTCTCCTGAATGCAGCACACTGATGGGTCTTGATTCTTTATCCAATTTGCCAGTCTGTGTCTTTTAATTGAGACATTTAGCCCATTTATATTTAAGGTTAATATTTTTATGTGTGAATTTGATCCTGTCATTATGATGCTAGCTGGTTATTTTGCCTGTTAAAATCTGCTTTTAATTTTGTATTTTTACTTTTTATTGATACATAGTATTTTACATTTTAATGGAGGTAGATGTGGTATTTTGTTACATACATAGGTTGTGTAATGATCAAATCAGGATATTTGAGGTATTTATCACTTGATTATTTATTTTTTCTATATATTGGGAACAATTCAAGCTACTCTCTTCTAGCTATTTTGAAATATATAACGCATTGTTGTAACTATAGTTGCTCAACTCTGCAGTTGAACAACAGAAGTTGTACCTTTTATCTAACTGATGTTTGCGCCTGTTAACCTACCTCTCTTCATCCTTGCTTCACCCACCCACTCATGCTTCCCAGCCTCTAGTATATATCATCTGTTTTTAAAAGCCTTTCCCATCTCTTCTCTCTCTCCTTCCCCTTTTTCCTTCTTTCCATGAATGAAGAGGTAATTAATACTTCCTCTCTGCTAGATACTGTACTGGATGCTTCCATAGTTGTTTTCATCAGCTCAGGTGATTTTTGTTTGTTTGCTTTTCTATTAAAGTACCACTGCCAATGATGATGCTAAAGAGCCCCAAATAAATCTCCATAATAGTCATTTCATGAAGTTATCTTATACATGCTCACACTTTATAAGAAAAGTACTATTACAATGCTTCTCAAGGGATTCTCTGAGCATTCTTTGATGCCTTCATGATCTCCATTTTCAGTGCACCAAGTCCCCTCCAAGGAGAGACCCTGGGTAATGACAATCTCTGGTGTCAACTAAGATTCTTAAGGACTGTATCCTGGTTGTGATTCCTATGTGACCTGAAGGTAAGCCAGTAACTCAGTCTATCTTCTATTTGGTTTCTTAAACTAATATTTTATGAATACATGCCACACACTGCAAAATAATTAAAACATGTATATGGACAAATAATTTCAATTTTGAATTCTTTAATAAAAATAATAGAAATGACATTAAAGTTAAGATTGAAAAAAGTTGTTCTTTTAGTGCTGAATTCACTTCTTCCTTCATGGAGTTTTTCCACATCCTTAAGGAGCTAAGAGTCACTTTTAAAAATAAACAACTAAGTCACTGGAAAGTAGATATTAACCAAGAGTGATGCAAATTCTGTGCATCCTATGAGTTAATTAAAGAGACCATCTCATAAAAGAGCAACACTGAAAACTTCTGCAGAGACAATGTGGTGCAGTGGAGAGAGCATTGATCTCAGTGCCAGCTGTGAGAGAAGACAGACAATACCTTGGTGGTGTTATTACACCACTAATTACAACAGTAACATAAGAAGAGACTATTCAGGCTGTGATCAACTGAACCCTAGAAACCTTTCTGGTATTCACTATGAACCTTAGTCTCAAAAACCACAAAACAAATCTGTTAGTCCATTCTCACACTGGCATAAAGATAATACCCAAGACTGGGAAATTTATCAACAGAGAAGGTTTCATTGATTCACAGTTCCACCAGGCTGGGATTGCCTCAGGAAACTTACAATTATGGAGGAAAGAGAAGCAGATACCTTCTTCACAAGGTGGCTAGAGAGAAAAAGTGTATGTAGGAGGAAATGTTAAACACATAAAACTATCAGATCTTGTGAGAACTCACTATCACAAGAACAGCATGGGGGAACGGCCCCCATGATCCAGTTACCTCCCACCAGGTCCTGTCCTTGACACATGGGTACTATGGGATTATAATTCAAGATGAGATTTGGATTGGGGACACAGAGCCAAACCATTTCAACAAAGGACAATTATATATCTGTTTCAGTCTAGGTCCAAGTTTATATTTCTCTAGAATTTTTATCCTTTTACCACGGGGGAATATTTTTTTAAACATGCTTTTAAGAAAGTCACCAAGGCAAGAGAGAAAAAGGAATAGGACAGTCCCAAAGGAGCTGAGGTATAGAATAACTGGTCTTTCAGGGTATTTCCAAAAGACTAGTCAAGAGGGTGGCACTTGTGGAAGAGGAGCACGAAAAGAATATCATGGTAAGGGAAGAAAACCTAAAACAGCAGAAAGAAAAATAATTTTTTTTAAAAAAAAAGCACTATTAAGGAAAGACATCAACAATTAAAAGCATGAAAGCAGCAAAAACAATAAAAGTAGTAAATATAATTATACGTTGTATATAAAACTGTTCTATTTGATTTACTCAGCAGCTCTTTGGGTTCTGTAAAAGAGGTATTATCTTCCCCATTTCATAGATAAAGAAACCAAGGCCCAGAGACTTGCCTAATTACATAGCTAGTAGTTGAAGTTTTCTGACTTATGATTTAAGAATATTCTCACATGGAAAAGGGAAAGGATAAGACAAAAATTGAAAGATAAAAATAAAGAGAAAGTGGTGATTAATAAACGTTTGTTGCATGAGTGACAAATGTATATAACAGGAAAGTCTGAAAATACAAATTTCAACTTCGACGGAGAATATTTCTCTGGGCTCACTACACATTTTCAAGACTTTGGCCCCTGACTCCCACAGATATCATTGTGGATATGATATAACTCAGGGAAATAAATCCCTATTTTTGTTTATAAATTAAGAGATTAATTAATACATAGTAAGTCAATTATTATTATTTGTTGACCACAGTGTCAGTCAGGGTTGAGGCAGGAAAGAAATGGCTCATTCAAAGGGTAAATCGCATTTAACGAAGGGACTGTTTACACATTTGAAGGGAGAATAACCAAGGGATTGGTCATAAAGGGAAGTGTTCTTCACTCTTGGGCCCCAGTGCAATGAATAAGAGGGAGCACAGACCCCAGGGAGTGCTGCGGCCTTGAGAGAAGGCTGCTTGACAGAAGCTGAGGTCTCTGGATCTCTGATAGGAGAATTTAGCCATGATGGTGACAGTAGAGAGAAGGATGCTGTGCCAAATACCTTCTTTTCCAAAAAACTATAAAATCAATAATTTAGAATGGGAATAAGGGGAAGAGATGAAAGACTGTACTACTTCAACAAAATGTGGAAAAAGAGGAAAAAGCATCTTTCTTAAGGTGAGAATTTAGAAAATGGGGAAATATATATAAAGTTGAGTTATATTTACCAGTTTTGTCCATTCATTCTGCAACAGTGTAATGAACCTACTACACTGCAGTCATTCAGAAACCTTGGGGTTAATGTGACAATAACACTAAACCCCTGCCCCCAAAGACATCAGTCCACCAGGAGGGACATGCAAGTAAATAGCAGTAACAAAACCAATATAATATCATGTTATAAAAGAGATACACACACAATTCCATGGTGTAAAGAGAGCAAGTGCTATTCTTGGTAGAATTGGAGAAGATTTTCAAATGAAGGGACATCTGAATGACATTTTAAATTAGCAGTTTTGCAAGACCAGTGAAATAAAGGCATTTCAAGTATAGGGAGTGGCTTGTGTGCAGGTGTGGAAACTCTAAAGGTACCTGATGATTTAAGGAGCTGCAGTAGTTCAGCATGGCTTGAGTTTGGCAGGGGTGGGGGTTATGGAGGAGTATTATGCTAAAGACCATTAACTTGACTTTAAATAACAGTTGTAGATTTTAAACCAAGGAAGTGATATGGTTACATTTATGTATTAGAAAGACCATTACTGAAGTATTGTTTCCAATTTAAGGAATGGAAGGGGTGGCGAGGAGGAAGAGTTAAGTATAAATTTATTTCCACTAAATTTCTGTCGGTCACTTTTTTATCTTTATTATATTTGCTTGATTTTTTTATAAAGGGGGGCATTTTAATCTGAGGCAAGAAGGAGAAAAGTGCAGAGTGAAAGATGGGGTTTATTTTCATATCGATATCATTGCCTTGCGAACATTCTGGTGAGGTGCTGCAGGTAAAGGAGCTCTCCTGCTCAAGGACTGACCTTGGTAGAATCTTGCCTACCCATCTACATTCAGGGAATTTCACTTCACTTTCCCTTCTGGATATGGCCAGCCCACCACCAAAACAAGGGAAGAGATATGGGAGTGAAGATTCATCCCCTACACAGTGCATCATTATTGGCAAGTGAGAAGCGGAGCTGGGAATTTGAGAAGCAAATCAATGCCTTCTGCTTCTCTTCATTAGTTCTGACAACAGATGGAAAAGAGGCAAACCCTCACCTTCTGTGGTTGCTTCTGATATTCAACTGGGAACCTCATTCTCAGTAGCTACAGATTTCTCTAATCACTCATCTTAACTTAACTTGACACTGCATTCTATTGCCTTTCATGAGAAGGATCTTGGGAGGCTGTAAACCTATGTTGCTGGGAAACAAATGTATTGCCTTAAATAGAGCAGGAGAGGAGCTGCAGATTTCCAACTCTTACAGCTTGTTCACTTGTGGAGACTGGGCTGCAATGTGCTCTTGAAATCTTTGGGGTGGGCCTTGTTTCTGAGGAAATAAAGAGGCCCCAGAACCTCCCAAGTGAGTGAAAGAATGATTTCCAGATACTCAAATGGAGTGGCCTTCTGGCTACATTAGCTGGATGTGCTTGGCAGTCTTTCCATCTGGCTGGCCAGTATCCTGAGGTTAGCAAAGCAGAAGGCAAATCTTTGGGGAGTTAAAAGACATGTGCACGTGCCAGTATTTTTGACAAATGCTCAGTTAATTGTTTTCTATGATTCTTCTCCTGAGACACAAACTGTATGCACCAGGCACCAAGAACTATCCCCTCCCACCACCCCAGATCCCAAGGGAAGCTTCATAATTACACACATTTGGGCCAAGCATCTACCCCACAGGAAATGGAAAGATCAGGCCCTAGGGATGAAAGAATGATGCAGGGCATGGGAAAGCAGGGAAATCTCCTCAGTGAGAAAGAAGACAAATTCACATCAGCCTGTGAGCTTATATACCAGTAAGAGAAATTCAGAATTTCTTGTTAGGATACTAAGGAAATGGTGGTCAGAAGAGGCCTGGGTAAGTTGATGAAAAATCTGTATTGTTCTATATCTGGTAAACAATTTAGTATTTGGAAACCACAACATTCCAGGATGGAACTCAATTTTGGATCAGTTACTGGAAATAGTGGCATATGCCATGGGTTCCAAAACAGATTATGCATAAGTAGAGTTGAATCAGGGGTCTAAACTCTAAAATCCATGATCTTCATGAATGTTTTTTTCCAGAACTAGCCCTTTTACGATTTTGTCTGTTTTTTGTTCTACAGCTTTTTCTAGTTATGTTTAGCTCCTGACATTTATTCATCAACTATCTGTAGTTGGGCACCGTGTAGAATGTTTGCATACTCTGCTTTTGTTGAGTTAGAAAGGTTTAGAATATGTAGCCCTCTGAATGAATGCTAACTGGATGAAAATCTCACCTGTACACACCCATGTTGCTTATTAGAGCAACAGACTGGAATGGGAAAGAGCCCCAGTTCTACTACTGATACTGCTGGAGAATTGGCTTCAGTGAAAGATAATTTAATTTCAACTTATGGCATTTTTGTCAAATGTTTTGAATCAAGAGATTTATGTACTAGGTATAAAATCTAACCTCTCCATATATGTTTTTAAAGTAATTCTTGTTTGCGTCCACTAAAGATAGATTTTATTAGCAATGACAACATAATGTGCTAAGTTAATTTAAAGATCTGCAATCTAAATAAGTTTCTTTAAGAAAACTAAGATACTGAGTTACTTATTAAGGATTAATTATCCATTCTCTTTGGAATTCAAAATTTTCAGAAAGAATAGAAACTCCTCAAAAAAACAGTTGAATTTAAAAGGCATTGAAATCATAAAGATAAAACAGTTATGTAGATGGTTAATGGATTTTACATGCCTGAGAAAATCTGTAAATAACTTCAATAAAATGTTGACTGAAAGAACAAGAGTACAAGAGAAGCAAGTATCAACAAAATAGCAAACACACAGAAAACAACTTGAACAAGACAGTTGTTATGAGGGAATAAATGAATCAGACAAGAAGCAGTATTGGTAAATTCAAGTTTAAAAATTTGACCAAGACATTCAATATAATAATTGGAAGTGGAATAAAATGAAATAAAGGCAGGAAAAAAAGTCTGAGGCAAAGGCAAATAAAGGAAAGAGATTGAACTAATTTTTCCTTTACAAAAATATTTTTACAATAAAAATACCTGGTTGGGCATGGTGGCTCACTGCCTGTAATCCCAACGCTTTGGGAGGCCAAGGTAGGTGGATCACCAGATTAGGAGTTCAAGACCAGCCTGGCCAATGTGGTGAAACCCCATCTCTACTAAAAATACAAAAAAACTACCTGGGAGTAGTGGCATGCACCTGTCGTCCCAGCTACTCGGGAGGCTGAGGCAGAAGAATCGCTTGAACCCAGGAGGTGGGGGTTGCAGTGAGCCAAGATTGCACAACTGCACTCCAACCTGGGCAATAGAGGGAGACCCCGTCTCAAATAAATAAATAAATAAATAAAATTTTAAAACCGTATGATTGTTTAAAATCATATTAACTTATTTTGGGGAATAAATGCTTTATTTTGTTTTGGCTTGTTTTTCAACCAGGAGATAGCAGGTCTGTGTGAAATTAGTATAGGGCTAATTAGTATAAGGCTATTTGCATAGAGAGTGTACTATAATAATCAGTAGTAAAACAATCTCATATACTTTGAAAAATTAAAAAATCCCTCACTGAAGCCTCTTCCAGACATGTGTCATGGGCTCTTTTTTTTTTTTTCCTTTCTGAATTTTTCCATATTAACAAAATAAGCTGCTCTTCCTTTCATTCCTTTGGCCACAGGACAGATGAAATTCACCAAAGTCTCTACCACAGACATTCTCAGATGGTGCTAATAAAAAGAAGAAACCCAAACCAGAACTGGTGGTCCACATTGTGAGAGTTGCTTAATATCATCACAAAGCAATAATTATCCACAGCATGCTTGGTGGCTCAACATTCTGAAAGGCAAATGTCAAGGGCATATAGTCTCAACCATGTTGCTAATGGCAGCTCATGTTTTGTGTTGGGTGGTCTTGTGTTCTGCCTGGTGGTCTTTCTTCTGCCTGCTATGACAGCACTAATGATTTCATGTCCACAGTATTCACTTGTCTCCCTTTAGTAATGCATGACAAGTCATAAAAGACAGACTGCCCAGAAATGACACTGCAGTATTCCAGACATTTTCTCTCTTGGTGGTGACAGTTCCAAATCAAGCTGGCTCAGTGCTTTAAGTCAAAGCATTTGTCTAAGTGGCAGTTCAAAATGCAGCCTTAGATCTGGAAAATCAAACTAGGCTTTTCTCACTTCTGCCATCATTGCTGGTAGTAAATATTTAACTGCTGGACCACAGCTAGCAGATTATGATAGATGACACAGAATAGAATACAACTCTTTCTTTCCTAGCTGTGAAGAACTCATCTTTTGGTTAGAGAGATTTCACTACCTTTTAATAAGCATAAGTAGGCCATTTTACAGACTTTCTTCCACACTCATTCACGGTTTCTTTCCCAAATTCCCACAAAGAATAGCAAGGGAAGCTTCATGGCTGCAAAGAATATCAATATAATTTCTGTTCAGAGGATCAAAGTATCACATACTCAAAAATCAATCCAGGCAATTATCCCAGTTTTAACTCTAAAGAATATATTAGAACATTCTTTATCAGAACCTGACCTATAACGCTGTATAGGGCAATCAGACCAAGAATTCACTCTCAATAGACTTTTGGGACCATCAATTAGATTAGGTTTGGGGAATTCAGTGCTACTCCCTATAAACTACCCATCACAAGTGATCTTCCTGCAAAATCCTACACTCTACCTCTACCATGCCATTTTCTTACTTTTGGCCTTTTATTGTGGTTAACTTTTCATAATCATTCTTTTGTTAAATGAACATAAATTGAGTCTATTGAACCTCTTAAGGCCTAGAAAAAGCTTCTAGAAAGGAATGATACTTGAGCTAGCCATTCTAAGTGCTTTCATCACATCCTTAAGAAATATTTGATACAGAACCTGCCATACTATATTGTAATCATTTTGCTTCATTATCTGTTTCTTCTCCTTTATTATAGGTTCCTTGAAAGCAGATACCAGACATATTTATCTTCCCATACCATTGCCTAAAAACTGTGCCTGGTCCATAGCATAGGGGCAGTGCATGTTTTAATTAGTAGATTAAACTTGGCCCATTGGAGAGGAGAGAGTGATTACAAGGACAAATAAGATTTCGTTTTATCCCTCAAGTTCTTTCTAAGTTAGCACATTGCTAGGTACAGATTAGTTGCTCAATAAATGCTGGCTGGTTAGTCAATTATCAGACAGTTATTTTTCTTCACATGGAAAGACAAAGCTACCAAAATGAATATATACCAACAAAGCCAGCTATAGTTTTATTTTGAAATAGCAACACCTTTCCTACCCTCACTCAGGACTTCAAGTACTAATAACAAGAAAGAAACAAAGTATAGGAATTGCTTATCATACCAAGCATAATATCTGAAGCCAAAACTGAGACAGTCTAGTGCCAGGAAAGGATATTTTAAACTAGAACCATCTTGGATCAAACAAGATATTTGGTTCTTAGTACTTCTGGTCTCCAATATGCCTCAACAATTTCCAGTTAGACCTTGACAATTATGTGATAAAATAAATATAAAAACACTTTAACACTGTATAACACACAATGAAAATATAAGTGCTATAAATAGAAACTGTATTTCTGCATTTAAAATACATGGACCAATTTGGTAAGTGCATACACGAAGAAATAGTGATTTGAGGCATTTCCTAATTCATTTATACTCTTTTTTTAATTAAGTAACTTAAAGCATGAGATCTATTGTAAAGTCAGAACTAAAAAGGACCAGAGAAGAAGAGGAAGTAGATGACAGAAGAGTAGAATATTGTAAGAGGGAAGTACTTAGTACAGAATTACACAGCCCAATAGAGAAAATTAGAAACTGATTCAATATCTATTAAATAGACTTTAACTGAGTGTCACTGAGTGTCTCTTAGGTCCCAGGCATGAAGCTAAGAACTGTGAAGCACATCAAGATGAATAAATTTCAGCCTAGTGAAAGAAAGCTTGTAGTCTGTGGGTTGGGAGGGTGGGGGTGGAGGGAGGGGAAAAAAGACAAGCATGTATACAAATATATCAGAAGGCAGAAGTAATCAGAGCTGGAAGAGAAGTTCAGACAAACTTCTGTCATAGTTTAAAGAAAGAAAATGTCTGTTCATTGAAGGATGCTTCAGGGTAATTTCATAGTGGAGATATTACATAAGCTAAGTCTGAGAAGAAATTCAAGAGGTAGATATAAAGGATGAAGAACTCTACATTCAGAATTAACAGTCTGAGAAAAGCATAGAGGTAGGAAACTTACTAGCTATGTTTAATAAGCATCAAGTACTCCATTTTGTCTAAAGTTTAAGGTATGCATGAAGACATAGTGAGGAATGAGGCTGAAGAGCCAACTGTGGCTAGGTTGTCAACAGTCTGGAATACTAAGCCAAAGGATTTGGGCTTTATTCAGTCATCTTTGGGAGCTACTCAAAGTATGATAAGATCATAGCTGTATTTTCAGAAGCTTAATCTAGAAACAATAAAAGAGTAAGTTAGGTGAAAAAAGATTGGAAGTGGGAGATAAATTTAGGTGTCATTATTATAAAGACCAGTACAAAATTTAATAAAGATCTTCAAGAAGGAGGTGACTGCTATAACGTTATCATATTTGCCATGGTCTACTCAGGCTGCTGTAATACCATAAACTGAGTGGCTTACAAACAACATAAATGTATTTCTCACAGGTCTGAAGGCTGAAATGTTGAAGACCAAGGTGCTGTCAGATTTGGTGTCTGGTGAGGCCTGCCTTCTGGTTCATAGATAGTGGCTTCTCACTGTGTCTTCATATGATGAAAAAGACGAGGCAGCTCTCTAGAACCTCTTTTATGAGGGCACTAATCTTGTTCATGAGGGCAGAGCCTAATTATCTCCCAGTTAGCCCAACTGCCGACCACCATCACCTTGGGTGTTAGAATTTCAACATATAAATTTTGAGGGGACGTGAACATCCAAACCACAGCAATAGTATTAAATGTGACAAATACTGCTGTCTTGTTTAGTAAGTGTAGGAATGAGCCATGAAAGATTAGAAGGGAGGCTCGCATGAATTGGCACTGAGGTGAGGAATGACGCCTGAAGGAATTTAGTGTCAGGTCTGAACAAACAGGGTAGGAGCAAGATGCTTGCATGCTTACATCATACATAGGGCCTCATAACAGAATTACGAAGGAGGGAGGTGAAACAAGATGCCAAATAGAAGCCTTCAGCAATCATTCCCTTCCATAGGAATGCCAAATTGAGTAACTGTCCACACAAGAAAGCATGTTCATAAGAACAAAAAATCAGGTGAGAAATCATGGTACCTGATTTTAACATCATAGCAAGCAAAGAGACACTGAAGAGAATAAGCAAGCGTCTTGAATTGCTGACACCACCCCTCCCCCATTCTCCTGTAGTAGCTATGTGGCACAGATTGAGAATCCTTGTGCTTGCAAGAGGGAGAGTGCAAGGATTGTTGTACTTCGAATTGGGACTCAGTGCTGTCCTGTCACAGTGGAAAGCAAGATTGGGCAGAATTCAGCCACCACTCCTGAAGAGAGCATTTAGACCAACCTTAGCCAGGGGGGAATCACCCATCCCAGCAGTGGGAACCTGATTTCTGGCAAGCCCCAGCACTGAGGGCTAAAGTGTACTGGGGTTTTAAATAGACTTGAAAGGCTGTCTAGGCCACAAGTTCTGCAATTTCCGGGCAAGTCCTTGTACTGTGCTGGGCTTAGAACCAGTGGACTTAGAATGCATGCAGTCCTACTGAGACACCAGCCAAGATAGCTAAGGGAGTGCTTGCATCATCCCTCCCCAATTCTAAGCAGCACAGTTTGCAGCTTCAAGAGGAGCTCCTTCCCTTTGCTTAAAGAGAAGAGAGAAGAGGGTAAAGAAGGCTTTATTTTGCAACTTGGATACCAGGTCAGCCACACTAGAAAACCTAGCAAAGTCTCGAGGCCTCCATTACAGGCCCTAGTTCTTGATTGACATCTTTAAACACACCAAGGGACAAAAGGGAACCTGTTGCCTTGAAGGGAAGGACCTAGTCCTGGCAGGGTTCATCATCAACACTCCACTTTCAGCAATGGAAATAATCATCCAGACAGAAAATCAACAAAGAAACACCAGACTTAATCTGCACTATAGACCAAATGGACCTAATAGGCATTTACAGAACATTTCACACTATGGCTACACATTCTTCTCCTCAGCACATGGATTATTCTCAAGGATAGATAATATGTTAGGCCACAAAACAACTGTTAAAAGTTTTTTTAAAAAATTGAAATAATATCAAGTACCTTCTCTGACCACAATAGAATAAAACTAAAAATCAATAACAAGAGGAACTTTGGAAACCATAGAAACACATGGAAATTAAACAATATGCTCCTGAATGGCCAGTAAGTTAATGAAAAAATTAAGAAGAAAATTTTTTAAATTCTTGAAACAAATGCAAATGGAAACACAATATACCAAATATATGGGACACAGTGAAAGCTATAATAAAAAGAAAGTTTGTTGCAATAAACATCTACATCAAAAAAGCATATAACTCAAATAAACAACCTAATGCATGGTGTACATTGTAAAGAACTAGAAAAGCAAGAGCTAAAGTTGGTCTTTTTAAATTAACATTAACAAACCTTTAGCCAGACTGAGAAATATAGAGAGAAGATTCAAGTTAGTGAACTCAGAGATGAAAAATGAGACATTACAATTAACACTGTAGAAATTCAGAGGGCCATTAGAGACTACTATGAGCAATATATGCCAATAAATTGGAAAACCTAGAAGAAATGGATGAATTCCTAGATACATACAACCTACCAAGATTGAACTGGAAGAAATCTAAAACCTGAACAGATCAATAACAAGCAGCAAGATAGAAGCAGTAATAAAACATCTCCCAGCAAAGAGAAGGTCAGGACCCACTGCCGATTTATACCAAACATTTAAAGAAGAACTAATATCAATCTTACTCAAACTGTGCCAAAAATTAGAGGAGGAGGGAATACTTCCAAACTCATTCTACAAGACCAGTATTACCCTGATACCAAAATGCAGAAAAAGACACATCAAAACAAACAAACAAAAAACATTACAGGCCATGATCCCTGATGAACATTGATGCCAAAGTCGTCAACAAAATACTAGCAAATTGAATTCAGCAATGCATTAAAATACCATTTATCATGACCAAGTAGGATTTATCCCTGAGATGCAAGGATAATTCAATGTATGCAAATCAATCAATGTGATACATCATATTAACAGAATGAAGGAAAAAAATCAATGTGATACATCATATTAACAGAATGAAGGAAAAAAACATATGATCATTTCAATTGACACTGAAAAGGCATTTCATAAAATTCAATACCCTTTTTTAATAAAAATTCTCAAAAAACTGAGTATACCGAGAACATACCCCAATAAAAATAAAAACCATATATGGCAGACCCATAGCTAGTATCACACCGAGTGGAGAAAAATGAAAAGCCTTTCCTCTAAGATCTGGAACACAACAAAGATTCCCATTGTCACCACTGTTATTCAACATAGTACTTGAAATTCTCACAGGAGCTATCAGAGAAGAGAAGAAAGTAAAGGGCATCTAAATTAGAAAGAAAGAAGTTAAATTATTCTTGTTTGCAAATGATATAATCTTATATTTGGAAACACAGACTACACAAAATATATTAGTATTAGAACTGATCAATTCAGTAAAGTTGCAGGTATCAACTGCAGTATCAACAACTGTTTATGTATCAACAACAGTATCAACATATGAAAATCTATTGCATTTCTGTATGCCAACAGTGAACAATCTGAAAAAGAAATGAAGAATGTAATTCCATTTATAATAGCTAAAAATGAGATACCTAGGAATAATCTTAACCAAAGAAGTGAAAGATCTTTACAATGAAAAGTACAAAACATTGATGCAAGAAATTGACAAGGGCACAAAAAATGGGAAGACATTTGATGTTCATGGACTGGAAGAATAAATATTGTAAAATTGTACATTCTACCAAAAGCAGCCTATAGATTACATGTATTCTCTATCAAAATACCAGTGACATTCTTCACAGAAATAGAAAACACAATTCTAAATTTTAAATAGGACCATGAAAGACTCAGAATAGCCAAAGCCATCCTGAGCAAAAATAAACAATCTGGAGTAATTGTATTACCTGACTTCTTACTATACTACAGAGCTATGGTAATCAAAACAGCATGGTACTGGCATAAAAACAGACACACAGACCAATGAAAAAGAATAAAAGAAACAGAAATAATTCACACATCTACAGTGAATTTTCAACAAAGATTCCAAGAACAAACGATGGAGAAAGAACAGGCTTTTCAATAAATGAACCTGGGAAAACTGGATATCCACATGCAGAAGAATGAACTGGATCCCTATGATTCACTATATACAACAGTAAAATCAAAATGGATTAAAGACTTAAATCTAAGACCTGAAACTATAAAACTGCTACAAGAAAACATGGGAAGCTCTTCAGGACATTGGTCTGAGCAAAAATTTTCTTGAGTAATTTCTCCAAAGTACAGGCAACGAAAGCAAAAATGGCCAAATAGGATCAAATCAAGTTAAAAAGTTTCTACATAGCAAAGGGTACAATCAACAAAGTGAAGAGACAACCTACAGAATGGGAGAAAACATTTATAAACTACTCATCTGACAAGGGAATTAATAATGAGAATATATAAAGACCCCAAACAACTGAATAGGAAAAAATGTCATAATGTGATCAAAAAAATGAACAAAAGATCTTAATATAATTTTTCAAAAGAAAACATGCAAATGGCAAACAGGCATAAAAAAACATGCTCAACATCACTGATCATCAGAGAAATACAAATCAAAACTATAATGGGATATTATTTCATTCATTGGTTAAAATGCTTTAATCCAACTGACAAGTAATAACAAATACTGGAAAATATCTGAAGAAAGGAGAGCGCTTGTACACTGATGGTGGGAATGTAAATTAATAGAGCCACTATGGAGAACAGTATGGAGGTCCCTTAAAAAACTAAAAATAGAAATATCATGTGACCCAGCAATTTCACTACTATTTATCCAAAAGAAATGAAATCAATGAGTTAAAGAGGTATCTGCACTTGCATATTTATTTCAGCACTATTCATAATAACCAAGATTTGGAAGCAACTTAAATGTCTACCAACAGATGAATGGATAAAGAATATGTGGTATATATACACAAAGGAGTACTATTCAGCCAATCAAAATAATGAGATCCTGTCATTTACAATAATATAGATGGAACAGGAGAACATTTTGTTAAGTGAAAAAAGCCAGGTACAGAAAGACAAAATTTGCATATTCTCACTCATTTGTGGGACCTGAAAATTAAAACAATTGAACTGATGGATATAGAGAATAGAAGGATGGTTACCAGACACTGGGAAGGGTAGTTGGGGGGTGATATGGTTTGGCTGGGTCCCCACCAAAATCTCATCTTAAATTATAGTTCCCATGATCCCCACATGTGATTGGAGGGACCCAGTGAGAGGTAATTCAATCATGAGGCCAGTTACTGCCATGCTTTTCTCATGATAGTGAGTGAGTTCTCACAAGATTTGATGGTTTTACCAGGGGCTTTTCCCTTTTGCTTGGCACTTCTCCTTGCTGCCACCATGTGAAGAAGGAGGTGTTTGCTTCCTCTTCTGCAATGATTGTAAGTTTCCTGAGGCCTCTCCAGCCCTGTGGAACTGTGGGTCAACTGAACCTCCTTCCTCATTAAATTACCCAGCGTTGGATATTTCTTCATAGCAGTGTGAGAATGGACTAATATAGTAAATTTGTACCAGGTAATGTACCAGGTAAATTTTACTGTATTACTAATATAGTAAATTTGTGCTCTAAACATACCGAAAAATGGGGAAGCAACTTTGGAACTGGCTAATGAGCAGAGGCTGAAATAACTTGGAGGGCTCAGAAGAAGACAGCAAAATGTGGGAAAGTTTAAAACTTCCTACAGACTTGGAGGGCTCAGAAGATAGAAAGATGTGGAAGGGTTGGAAGTTCCTAGGGACTTGTTGAATGGCTTTGATCAAAATACTGATAGTAATATGGACAAGGAAGTCCAGGCTGAGATGGTCTCAGATGGAGATGAGGGACTTCTTAAAAACTAGAATAAAGGTCATACTTGCTATGCAGAGACTGTCAGCATTTTGCCACTGTCCTAGAGATCTATGGAACTTTGAACTTGAGAGAGATG